ACATCCCTGTTGCACAACTGACATTTTCAGAATGTCAGGAGAAATCCAAAAAGGGCATTTACACATTGGTTGAATATCCTGCTCCATGAATTAATAGGAAGATATATGAGCTGCAGAGGATAAGTAGGCAAGAATGGGTTACATGTTTGAAGGAAACATCAGTGAGATTACTTAACCATTTGACTGCTTTGAAAGAGAAAGATACTGGTTCTTAAGCAGGGGAGTGATGTGATCAAACCTCTGTCTTAGGAGTGGCAACTTGGCAGCTACATGGAGCTTGAACTGAGGAGAGAGGGGACTTGAGGCAGGAGGACCATTTATAAGACTTTCAATAGGCCAGGGAAAAGGAGATAATCATGCTGACCATGGAAGGAAGACAAAAGTCAGATGTAAGAAGGAAGTAAAATTGAGAAGACTTGGCAAATTATTGGATGTGAGGGAAGAGTTAAGAATGATTCCAAGATTTCTAACCTGTATGACTGGTAGATGGTTGTTCTCAACAAAAATAGAGAAGTTAGAGTGAGGGACAGTTTGGGGGGAAAGATAAAGAGTTCTATTTTATACAGATTGAGTTTAAGATGTTGACAGGGACATGGGACAGAAATTAAGGAAAGAAATTGAGGTTGGTTATATCAGTCTGGGATTTGTCTGCGTGGAGCTGATACTTGAATCCGTGAAAGCTGATGAGATCTCCAAGGAAAGAGAAGGCAGCCAAAGATGATCCTACAAAAGTCTCTGATGTCACTTTCAAAAAGGGGTTTTGCCCATACTCAGAGGAATGCTATCTGCATTGCTCCAGAAATTATTTTTTTCTTTTTTTTTCTTTTTTTTGGCTAGGCAGTGGGGTTAAGTGACTTGCCCAGAGTCACACAGCTAGTGTCAAGTGTCTGAGGCTGGTTTTCAACTCAGGTCCTCCTGACTCCAGGGCCAGTGCTCTATCCACTGTGCCACCTAGCTGCCCCTCCAGAAATTTCTTTCAAAGCATTCATCACAAATACTGTCCAAAAGTTTTATAACTAGGACCAAACTGTAGGTGGGTTGGGTTACCCAAGAGTTATTAAATTAGACAAGTGATCAGCCATTAATGTGTTTTAGCAGCTATAAGTTTCCAGTTCCAGCATAAGGGTCTGTTGGGTTAGACTTAGTACTTTAAATTCCGTATCTTAAAAAAAAAAATTCAGTGGCTCCCTCATCTTGGCTTTCAAGGCCCTCCATATAATCTGGCCCTCTTATACTTACCAGTGGAAACATCTTGTCTTTGTACACCCAGAACTCAACTGTCTCATAATTGTGTAATGCTCAGGCCTACCTTCATTAGTACTATTCCTGAAACCTGGGGTACCTTCACTTCTAATACAAATAATGTTTCAAGGCTCAGCTTATTGTGGCACAGTGAAAAGAGCATTGGCCCTCCAAGTCAAAAGAAGTGGGTTCACATCTTTCATTTGATGCTTATTATTTGTGTTTTTTTAGCAAAAACAGTCTTCCTTGGCCTTAGTTTCCTTTTCTGTAAAATGAGGAAGTTGGATTAAAAGAACTCTGAGGTCCCTGCCCACCCTAGGTGTATAATTCTGCTTCCTCCCTGAAGCCTTTCCTGACCATGCCAGTCTTCATTGATCTTCCTTTCCTCTTCACCCATATCCCAAACAATTTTTACTTTAACTTGCGTATAATACATAACTAGACTGTACACTTCTTAAAGGTAAAGACAGTTTCATGTTTCCTAAATATGTCAGGGCTGAAATAGAGTGGGCACTTAGTGAATGCTTGGCAACCCAATTTTTCCAGTCTGGAAGTGTGTATATTATGGGCCAAATAGGTTAGTCTGTTCCATGACCAAAGCTCGAATCTCCCCCATCTAGTCATCTTGAGAATACATTAATTACAAAGTGGACCAGCTGAGAGAGAAATAGCATCAGCACAACCAAAAAAGCAAGTCTAGTACAGTACTGATAAACTGATCTTTAATGTCATCTTGAAAAAGTCAGTACATACAATGGGTTGTTGTTGCTTGCTTTCTTTATAAAATGCTCTCAAGACATCATCATGTTTATTACTGTTTCTCTGCTTAGCCTCAAGTCAAGGCCATGTTTTCTGTTTCTTTTTTACCCTAGTTAGTACCTAGTGCAACCTCATTTCAGTGGATACTCTGTTGTTGACTGAATGAGACCTCCAAGTGAGATATCAGGTGCTAAGTATTACCTTTCTGGATTGTCTCCATTCTGTAGGCATTATGTTGCAAGTCAATATCTAGACCAGGTGGACAGCCCAGCCTTAAGGTGCTGTAAACTGAAATGGTGCATACCTCACAGCAGCTGTGCCTATCAGGCAGATTCCAGTGGGTAATTACTAATTGTCAATATGTGTATGTGACCTGTTATTTCTTCAGCTGTCAGACTGCCCTCTAAGTGACTTCACCACCCAGTTAGGCCTTGTTATTTTCAAAGTGTCTTTTCTCTTGCTGGAGTTTAGGAACCTTGGTAAGTTATCAATACCAATAGAATACGGTACTTGGTTGACCACTAAATCACTATAATGCTGTGCTTTAAAACATTAGAGGATCCAGTGACGTCACCTGGTCTTCTCCACAAATGTGTGTGTGTACATACACATGCACACACACACACACCATCACAGACTTTTCTAAGAAAACCTGGAATTATGTGTATTTTTCAAGAGAAGAGGAAAGAGCATCTTACTCTATGTAAAATTTTCTCTTCATTCAATGTTTAGGAAATTCTACCTGTCCGTTCTATATCTGCAGTATTTCTAGAGTCTACTTAAGTCATCTTTGGTTCTTTTATCTCCTGTATCCCACTAAGTTCAACCTCAGGAGAATTTTTCTCACATCTTTCCATTTTTACCACCACCTTCTTAATTCAGACCTACATTGTCCGGTATTGCAATAGCCTGGTATTTCTGCCTTCAGCCTCTCCCTAATCTAATCCTCAATATTCCCACTCTTCAGAATCTTAAAATTGGAAGGGATTATCTAGTCCAACCCATACCTGAACAAGAATCCCTTCTTTAACATACTTGGCAAGTGCCAACCAGCCTTTGTTAGATCCAGTGAGAAGGAATCCAGTAAATCCTAAGGTAACCTATTCCACTTGAGGAAAGCTCTAATTGTTACAAAATGTATCATCACATCAATCTTGAACTTGCATCACTGCATCTTCAACCCAATTCTCCTACTTATGCTGCCTGGGACCGAACAGAACAAACCTCATTTCTCTTCCATGTGATAGTCCTTCTGATATTTAAAGACAGTTATCATATTCCTGCTAAGTATTTTCCTCTTTAGACTAAACAACCCTTGTTCCTTCAACTAATCCTCATATGGCAAGAATTTTTAAGGCCCTTTTTTAAGGCCTTCTTTTAAAAAAAATTTTTTTAATCAATGAAAATCCACTTCTCTCTCCCACCTCTCCCCGCCTCACATTGAGAAAGAGAGGAAAGTAAAACAAGTATAGCCAAGCAAAACAAATTCCTGCACTGACGATTTCCATTTTTTTTCCCCTTGATCTGCACCTCTCAGGAGGTAGGCAAAATATTTCATGAGACCTCTGGAATCATAGTCATTACATTTAACAGACTTCCCAAGTTTCCCAAAGTGTTTGTCCTTATGATATTGTTACTGTATGAATTGTTTTCCTGGTTCTGCTCACTTCTCTCCGATGAATTCATGCAAGCTTTCTAAGTTTGTCTGAAACTATGGTCTTCATAATTTAAAAGTGTTTGGAAATATGCACAACTTTGATACAGTTCCAGCATGCTCCAAGATACCTATGTCCACTTCATGTAAACCAGTTATATTACCTATCTAGAAGCATTTTTGAGAAGCTATGTGATCAAAAACCAATTAAGCCTAATGAGGGCAGTCAATACTACCATCACAAAGGAGAGGTATTTCATTTAACAGTGTTTCCCCTCCTCTATGGTATTCATAGGAGATAGAATATGGTACAGTTTAATTCATCATCTTTATCCTTCTCTTTCTCATCTTCCTCCTGTACCTTTTTCCACTTCTACTAATTTACCCATTTGCCCCATTAAACTTTCCTTTCAATTTATAATCTACAGCATCCTCATATTTCTTCTTCAGTTTGGCTGCCTTATCATAAGGTTGCTTCTCATTGTCACTCAGATTGTTCCACATTTCGCCAAGCTTCTTTGTCACATGTCTGGTGGATATGCCAGGATTTTCAGACTTGATCTTACAATATTATAATTAAAGAAGGCCCAGAAAGGTTCAGTGATTGCACATCATTCAGCCAGTTAATAGGAGAGTCAGCAGTAGAAATCAGGCCTGCTGATTTCCACTATCTCCTAACACTATTGTGAAAGGACATGGAGCACAAGGCAGAAGGAAACAGACTACGACACATTTTGCTTTTTCAAAACACAGCAGTATCAATCAGTAAAGATTTATTACTTATATATTTATTCAAATATACCTGAAACTAGATTTGAGTCCAACTCAAACATTATCTGTGACCTTGGTCAAGTGACAACCTCTCTAGACCTCAATTTCCTCTTCTGTACCTTACAAGAATGCTATTAATAGCAAGTGAAATGAATTATACACAAGGCTTTTGTAACCAGAAAGTGCTAAACAAATATAGGCTATTGATATTGGCTACTTTAACCCTCACAATATCCTTTAAGACCTGCGAGGCAAGTAGTAGTATTCTTTTATAAATGGAAAAACAACAGCTACAACAATTAAGGCCCAGAATAGTTAATTAACTTGTCAGAGGTCAAACAGTAAGGACATCAGATGATAGAATTAGTATAGCAACTCTGGCTTCCTTTTTCCAAACCAGAACAATGGTAGAGATCGATGACAGTTTGTAGGGGTAGAGTAGACCTGCACAATTTGGCAGTAGGTAGGGGCCAAAATTAAAATAGGCTAAACTTCTTCGGGCTGCAGACAAGTTAGACTAGACACAGACTGATGATGGTTGGTTGCCGTGGGCCAAGTGACAAACAGGAAAGTACCCCTTGGCAATCCTACATTTTGGGGAAAATTCTTTGGTATGCAGTATGTGTTGCAGGCTGGGGTAGAGTGAGAAGTACTAAGCAATGCCTATTAAAGCAGTGAATAAAATAGAGAACACTTATTAGAGTAGGTATTCCTACCCAGTTCCTCCATTTTCTAACATAGGTTCCCAAAGTGGGCGATACTGTTTTGGAACAATCGGGGGGGTGGGTATTTTTTTTTAAATGATGCAAATTTAAATTAAAAAAAATTTAAACGTCAAAAGGTTAAAGTTGATTTCAGGGAGGTGCTAAGTAATTTTTTTTAAAGGGGGCAGTAGGCCAAATAAGTTTGGAAACCTCTGTGACTAAAAGTTCAATTCAATTCAATTCATGTTGAATAGTGTATTCAACAGTCTTCTGAACTCAAAAACTTTAAAAGAGTTTACATTAGAGAAGTCTTGAAACGAGCAGAAAACAATATAATGTGGCAGTATATATGGCATAGACACTAACTGCTTTGGGAGGTCAGAGTCTAATAAAGCTAAGAAAAAAATAAGAGGAAGCAGGCCTTGCAAGGTGATTAAAGTGCTCCAGGCAAGGGGAAATGAACAAAGGTAGAATTAAGCAGTGAGTTTTGAGGGTACATTTATGTCTGCTAGAGAGGAGGACTTATGTGCTTGGATAGGTAAGTTGGAATCATTAGAGACCATCTGGAATGCCAAGTTGAACAGGTTAAACTTGACCTGGTAATAGAAAATCACTGTAGCTTCTTGAGCAGAGGAATAACATGTTCATGGTGGTATTTTAGGAAGGCTAATTTGCTGTCAGCTGCAAGACAGATTGAATAAAATTAATGAAAAAACACTGTGCTAAGCATTGGGTATAAAAATAGGAAAGTAAGACAATTGTGGCTCACATTCTAATAGGTGAAAACCACACATGTAGGAGATCTCAGCTTCAAGTTAGATAAGAAAGCCTCCCTGTCCTTCAGATACTGCAACAAGGCAGATGATACTGTGGTGTCTTTAGTGTCATTTCCATGAATAAAACTACTTCTGTTTCTGATGTTAAATGCTTTGATGGTGCCAAGGACTTTGGCATCAAGAATCTTCTTCAGTAATTGGTGGTCTGTGGGCAGAAGGTGCTTCTATTCCTGGAGGTTTTAGGTTTACCTGTTTATTGGTGGCAATTGGGCAACAGATAGTGATAGGCCTTTTCTCCACAGGATTGCTCCCCTGGATAATGGGTGTGGGGGCCAGGCTGAGAATAGTGTCAGTGGCCTAGAGGATACTGTTATTCCCAGGGCTGTTGGGCATAGGGTCCTGAGTTGTTTCTACTAGGATTTGAGAGAAAATGGTGTTTGAGGTGGTGGTAGTTTGACCCTCCTGGTGTATATCCTTTCTGTCAGAAGGAAAGTATTGTTACTGCTTTTTTAGACTTTCAAGGATAGATCATTTAGGGGCCTGGTTCATTAATTCAGGCTTAATGTGATAAAGGGCTGAATTTATAATAGTAGCAGGAAGAAAGGAGAAGGGAAGAATCCAAGATTATAAAGGAGAAAATGACAGGACTTGGTGCCATATTGGCCTAGCAGACAAATAAAAGTGATTAGTCAATAATTCCAATGTTTTGAACTTGGATGACAATGGAAATGAGAGATGGGGGAGGGGAAATTGGTTTGTGGATGAAAATAAGATTTGTTCTATTCAGATTTCGGCTTAACTCCTGCTTTAGTGACTTAACTCTTTTTGTAGAGCCAGTAACCAAATGTGACTGAAAGAGTAGAGGCAAATAGATGACTGCTTCAGTTCTCTACTAGTTTCTAAGGTTTGGGGCTGTTTGAGGTTTTGCTCTCAAACACATTCATCTGAAAGATGGAATCCATCTCTTACAATAGTGCTGATATGGCCTGTTTTCTGAATTTCTGTTCCACAAAGATTGTGTACAGGGAAAGGCTCTTGCCCAGATGAGAAACTAGTGAGAATGTAACTGCTACATCAAGAGTGGCTGGAGTGTAATTCTTCTCTTCCTCCCCTATTTCCCAAGAGTACATAGCTTAAGCTCACTGCAAAATTCTGTATGATACCATTTAGGCACGCAGAATGCCTAATGTTTAGTCAGCCAGTCACATGTATTCAGCAACTACTATGTGGAAAGCAACAAAGGACTTTCTTTGGGTTGTCATCCACCTTATAGACTCTGTAGTACTAGATATAGTGAATGGATGCTTTGAGGACCCAGTTCTCTCTTTCATCAAAGCTAAAGCTTTGTTTTTAAAAAGCTGTCAGGGGGACTTCTTTATTTGTGAATGTAATTCCTATAGCAAACACCAGCAAATAGCCTCCAATATTGGAATATTTGTGAGCAATAACCCCAGGAGCCCCAGTGAGGGCTGTACAGTATGTAGCTGTGATGGAATCTCTTTTTTCTCTTTTAGAAGCTTCCCCAGGGGTGACTGGTGTGTCAGTTGTGGAACGGGAACCTGCTGATATTGGAATGATTACTGCATGGGAACAAGTAAGTATCTTCTTTAAAACAAATTACCTCCTACTCCTGGGAAAGATTGAGGTCATTGAGAAATCCTTATTTCTATCTCAAACTGTCGTTAAAGTATACAGTTCATCTTTCTCCTCATTTACCCTCAAGGCACTTGAGCTCCACCCTGACACTCCTATGAATTCTTATCCTGGGAACAATTGTTTTCCTAGGAGGTATCTTAACCTTAGAATTTCCATCTTTGCTGTGTAAGTCTGGTCTATGTGATCAGTTTTTCTTATGAGGAAGGCAGAGATGAAAGAATTTTTTTCTGTACCGCAGGTAACCTCAGCTCTGGAATCCCTTTGCTACCTTAGGTTTCTGTGCAATATATGGATAATCATAATTATGCAAATGTAACATAAGCCTCCATGTCAATGAATACCCTATTACAGGGGTGGGGTATCTGTAGCTTTGAGGCCACTTGTGGCCCTCTAGGTCCTCAAGTGCAACCTTTTGACTGAATCCAAACTTCACAGAACAAACCTATTACAAACCTGGCAGCAACTATAAACCAGTCAAAGTATTTAAATGAGACAGAACAGCAAAGTTAACAAGGGAAAAATCCTGCAGGTAGTGAGTTCCCCCCCCCCGACCTTCCATTTGAGGAAGTACTCATGCCAGCCACGTTCACTTCAAACTGCACTCTGCCCATGACTCTCCTGAATACTCCACTTGCTGACCTCCTGGTGGTCACAGAGTCCAACCAGTTCCCCCAAGGGTAAGAAATGTTTGTGATGCATCTTTGTAGAGATAATGGCATGAAAGCTATACATAAATATTTCTTCTGTAACCCCTTGGCTACTCTAGACATTTGATTCCTTGATAGATAACCATGTGCTCAACCTACATATCAAGGAAGGTGTTCTGTCATCATTAGGTGATTACTAATGATTATCCTATTCCATTACAGAACTAAAAAGTCTATGCACATCAGCTCTAAAGTGCTGGTGCTGTGCTGTCCCAGGAACTGCCATTAGCACTTTCCTTTAACTATGCCAGGCTCAAGGCTCATGCTTTTTGCATACATTTGCTACCATCTGGGGCCAGTAGAATCTCTTCTGTGTCAGCTCCAGAGTTCTAGCTGCACCCAAGTGTCTACCTTATGGAATGGTTTTATGCCTATATATATGTAAGTCAAGAACTGCTTTGTTATAAATAGAGGCAAAACTAAGATTTTTTTTTTTACTATACCTATGATTTCATAGATATAGAGATGCCTAGTGAGGAACTCCCTTTATTAGTGCAGACACTTTCTCTCCAAGGCACTGAGAGGTTGAGTGATTTACCCAAAGTTGCAAAACCAATATGTGTCATAGGCTGGGCTGGACCCTAGTTCTTCCTGGCAGCTGGTGGCTCAGTATATAGAGCCAGTGTATGTAGTATATAGTCAGAAAAACTTGAGTTCAAATGTGGCATCAGACACATATTAGCTGTGTGACCCGGGGCAATCGCTTAATCACTGTCTGCCTCAGTTTCCTCAAATATAAAATTGGGATAATAATAGCACCTACCTCACTGGGTTGTTGTGAGGATCAAATGAGTAAGCATATGTATAGCACTTAACACATTGCCTGGAACACAGTAGACACATAATAAATGTTTTTTTCTTTCCTTCCTAACTCTGAGACCAATAGACCATTCCACGCAACATTACACTCAGTGGGTATGTGACCTGAAGTAGTGCATATGAGATGGGAGATTTGAATCTGCTTCCAAGTTCCCTGTCCTCTCACTACCAGCCACCACCACCCCCACCATCACCACTGCCAGACCCTGCCCCTTTCTCACTGGGGAGAGGGAGAAACATGCAGTAGAGAAGATGCACCAGGCAAGGGAAAGGCTTGTCTAGCTAGAGTTCATTTCTAACACTCTTCATTCCCTATTCCAATTAACCCAGACCTTAAAGCTATTCCTTATTTCAAAATTATGGATAAGAGTTATATACTGTATTTTATGAGCAATTCAAAAGTTGTGAGAGAGACAGTAACTTTAACTATATGCAATTTTTATTTTATGGCCTGACTTGAAAACCTAACCCCTGGGTAAGAAGCAATTCCATTGTACCTCATGTTTGATCATTTATGATCTGGTACAGTGAGTATTCCACTATATACAACTTCTGCCATTCTCTCAACAGCAACATACCTTCTGAGGAGCGAAGGTTGAGCCCCTGAGGGTCATACTCCTATTTCTTGGTCTGTATCAGTTTTCTTAGCCATTTAAACTACAGATACACTTGCCACAAATCATCCAAGGGCAATGGAGACAAAGGAGACTGGTTAATTATATATTTACTCCCCTGATAGCACATTCACCTGGGGAAATCTTAGACTCACAGCTCTGCTTTCTTGTGTTATTGACCTGGCTCTCTTTATCATAGGTTATCTTCACCTCTTCCATGGCAATCAGTGAGGTTTCTATGTATCAGGCCAATGGTATAGGACATATGTTTCCACATTAGTCTTCTCTGGCCAGTAATGCACACCGCATACTGCATAGTCGGCCGTGCTATTAATCTATTCTGGTGGCATCCAGCTTAGCACTCATCAGAATATAAATCAATGGATTGTTGTTTGTACGCTCTTGGAATTGATCTCCCTATACATATTCTTAAAATTTATCAGTGACAATTCAAAGCTGAGAACTAAAATCGGTGGATAAGATATCACAGTCTTATGAGGAGTCCTCTATTTGCAATGTAATTGGCTTCTAGGGGCCATCATTCTTGTGTTATAAATTACTTCCAAAGCCCTCTGGGCTGGCATCGATATATAATATAGAAGGCTTGGATCTATACAAAAAAAACAAAACAAAGCTAGCCTAACCTTGGCACATGTATGAGGCAATTAATCAAGTCCTTAAAGACCTGATCACCTTTTCCATGCCAAAAATCTCTCAGTGTTTCCAGACTGCTTAGGCCAACTTGTCCCTTTTGGTTTCAGTTCTTCTCAGTCATATACCTATGAGTGAAATCATTGTGAAGCTTTTCAATGATGGCAGAGTTCTTCACAAATTTTTGAGAGTAGCTGTCTAATCTTAGAAAATTTGTTGGTTCTTGATAATTCCTTAAACGTGGCCTGGTGATGACTGTTTCTGTCTTCTTAGGGTTGGTACTCATTCTTCATAAGATCTACCCAGGTACTTGACAGAGGCTCTACACAATAGGTACTTTTTAAAAAATTATTTTATTTTTGGTGAGGCAATCAGGGTTAAGTGACTTGCTGGGGTCACGCGGTTAGTAAGTGTCAAGTATCTGAGGGCAGTTTTGAACTCAGGTCCTCCTGACTCCAAGGCTGGAGCTCTATCCACTGTGCCACCTAGCTACCTGTGCACAAAGGGTACTTTTTAATTGATAGTTTTAGACTAGAATCCCTTACCAATTGGATACCTTTAATAGCCATTTTTAATGATACATCAACCTCCAAGTAATTTATATCACTAATGATTTTTCCATGAAGAGCTAAAAAATGGCAGGACTCCCAGAAATCCCTTGGGGCATGTACTCAAATTACTGAACATTCAATAGAAAGATAAATGCCATCTTTTCCTTATCATCTTCATGCCAGATCCGTGGGGATCCGACAGTATCAGCTGCGCAGGTTCAAATCTGAAAAATGCTGGATTCCCACCAAACAGTCTTAGGCATCTAGGATTCTTGGCATGGTGATCAATTCAACAACCATTAAGTGCCAATTGTATATGAGTCACTGTGTGTAGGTACTGGAGACACAAATATAAATGAAAGAATCCTGCCAGTCCTCAAGAAATTTAAATTCTACTCTAAAGAAACAACATGTACATAGATAAGTAATTACAAAAAAACTTTTTAAAAAATCATTTTTAAGCACTTACTTTGCTAAGCACCATAGATAGAAAAAAACAAAAAGAGTCCCTGTCCTCAAAGAACTTATATTATCATGGGGGAGAGAGCATATATGAATCAGAATGTACAAGATAAACTCAGAGTAGAGGGAAGGCGAGCTCAAAAGGGAATGGCACCAGAATTTGGGAGGGCCAGGAAAGGCATCCTGAAGGAAGTTGCACTGGAGCTGCATCTTAAAGGAAATTAGAGATTCTAAAAAGTTGGAGATTGAGGAGAGCATTCCAGGCATGGAGAAATGGAAGATCATGTCAGAGGAATGGGAATTAGGCTAGTATGCCTGTCTGGTTGTGTATGTGGAGGGAAAAAAGAAGATAGGAATATGGGAAAGTTATGAAAACTGATTTTATGAGAGTACTAACAACTGTGGATATCATAAAAGACCTGTGTAGGAAGCAATAACATGATTTGAAAGCAGCTAGGGATTCTAAAAGGCAAAACTGAAGAGAGAATACCTTCAAGTTGTGGGGTACCACCTATGCAAAGTCACAGAAAAAGGGAAAAGGATTTCATATATGAGAACAGCTAATGCAAGAATTTGACTAGGCTATAGAGTATTGTTGTTGTTTTGAGTCAGACTTATGATTTCAATTGTATAAGAAACTCCCTATATTAAGACACATCCACATGTACTCTGAAATTTATAGGCAGAGAGAGTTGCCTAGGGGGTTCTGAAAGGTTGTAATTTGCCTAGGATCGTAATGCCAGCATATGTCAGAGGTGAAACTTGACCTTAGGTCTTCTTGACTGAGGTTGGCTCTCTATCCATTATGCTGTGGATACCTTACAATCATATGAAGTATTCTTATATCAAAAGTGCCTCTTGATAATATGAAATAAGACTGGAAAGATGGGTGGGAGCTGGATTACAGAGAGCTTTAAATGCTAGGTTGCAGATTTTGTATTTTAACCTACAGGCTACAGGAAGCCACGAATATTTTTGAGTAGGAGAGTGACCATGATTACATCTTTGTTTTTTATTTAAAGTCTGATCATCCACACATTCAAATCTTTCTAATTTCCTTCCATACTACACTTTGGTAAGGCATAGGAACTATGAGATTTGATAATGATGCCTTTAGCTAGCAGTTCCTTCAGG